TAAATATTTTTATATTAATATGTTGATGGAACAATTAGCTTATTGCTTCAATACCTTCCAGTTCATGTCTCTTCTACATCAACATGTGTCCCCTCTTCTTCATCAACATGTGTCCCCTCTGTGGAAAGAGACTGAACATTTCAGGAACAAAGATTCTCTCTCTTTTTGATCCATTTCTATAAAAACCTGTCTGAAAATGAGCTGATCAGATTTTGTCCACTTTATGATGTCATAACGATGCTTTGTCTTGTGTAACCATTAGCCAATCAGCAACCCTGCCATTAAATAACCTCCGCACTGATAAACAGGGAGGTCAGACTTCCTGTGAGCACATACTGATGATTCCGTTTGCAACCTTTTGTTAAAGGACACATGTCATGCTTTTCCGTTTATTACCCGTCCCCTTGTGTGTTATGAAGGTTTTTCTGCATGTAAACGGTCTGCAGAGTCAAAACCCTCAAAGTACACCCTGTAGGGAGTAAAACTCTAACACAGAGAAGACCTCCGCAAAACGCCTCATTGGTGAAACGTCATCATGACGTCATCATCCATTTGGGTACGTGCTTACGAAAGCACGTACCCGGAACTAAATGGGCCAATCCGTGGAGCCGTTACGTTACGTCCGCGGAGCCGTTACGTTAAGCCCCCGCTGATTGGTCCAAATTGACCAATCCACACACACACTCAGAGCAGGCAGCTCTGCTGATTTCTCCTCCCTGGCTGCAGGCTGATAACAGACAGTTGGGATCGCGGTGAAATTCACTCTGCAGACCCATTCTCACAGCGTTTATCAACCTATAAACCTTTTTCTTACTCAATATCAAGCCACACTTATTGTTTTTATTTCGGCTGTGACTTTGTGTGTGTTCAGGTTGAGTTTGGCGGTGTTTGGCTGTGTATCGCTAAACAAGGAAATCACGGAGGGGGGGGAGGGAGCTGTAGCAAGCTGTTTAGTGGAGAAAGTGAATACTGCTGAATACACATACTTTACAGAGATGCTGTATGAGAAACCAATGTGAGTTTGGAAAATTGCACATATTTTTCTATTTTAGTATACCTCAACAATGGAATTATGATCAGTGGAAATGGCCATGACATGTGTCCTTTAATGTCTTTCCCAAAGTGAGACTTAAAATGTGTTGTGTTCCCAAACCTTTGGTAAGAAGAGGGAGGAGCAGTTCTCGAAGTACATGTAGCCGTGGCTGTAGAAGCCGCTCCAGTCCTCCTTCAACATGTGATCCATGTCGAACATGTTCATCGCCTTGTTGTCCTGCAGGAAGGAGAGCACAGGCATTTCAGAAAAATCAAATGTTATTTATTTATAGAATACACACATGCACACGACCCGTACACATGAGGTCTGAATACATACATACATACATACATACATACATAAACATGCATTTATGTATTATGGAAACTGCTGCCATGAATATGTAAATAAACTTGTCTTGCAAAAAATCAACAAAACCACTTATCTATCTCCCTTATCTTCAGTACCTGTGTGTGTTACATCCATGACAAACAGACTATAAGTAATACTCACCGGCGTGTTGAAGACCTCGTTGTAGCAGACAGAGGAGCGCAGGTACCAGCTGATGTTGAAGGCCAGGTTTTTATCACATGACGCCGTGTCACCCTGGACTGAAGAGAGAGGACAGAGAGTAACTCACAGCGTGGAGAACGGGGTTATAAGACAGTGTATTAAAGCCTTATATCACACCAGCTGTTCCAGATCATTCAGGAGAGACTGTGTTTGGTCAAATCTACTTTGTATGTCCAAACTTTCTCCCAGCGTCCCAGGTGACTTTCGCTATTTCCCTACGTCATGTTGCTGCAATGCATCCTGGTCTATTTTATGCTACAGCGGGAGTAGAAATAATATCTCTCCCTCATTGTGGATTTCCCAATTATGTCTGGTGAAAGCAGCTCTGAGGGTTCTGACTCCTACTATCTAATCCTAAGGCTAAAACCTTAATTTTGAAATGTTTACTCAGCTAAACTGAGTTACGAGAATCTATTTTTGAAATGTTTTACTGGTTGAACATTGTAGTAAATACTGATTTTGTTCAAAGTAATAAATGATGAGATATTGGCCAACTGTATAGATACAGGATTTCATTTTATATGCCATCATAAATTCGACCACAGACAGTTACGGCCCGTCCACACGGCAACGTGCGTTGAAGCTTCAACGGAGACGTTTCCCATTCACTTTGAATGGGGTGACGTCACGCTTTGCCGAACTGCATTGTGGTTCCGTCGCTTTGCCTCCGTTGCTCGCTTCGAAAGTTGAGAAAAGTTCAACTTTTCAAAGAATTTTACAAGTTTCATAGCACTTTAATTTCTGAATTACCTCTTTTTTCTATTTGTTTTTTTATTCTTCTTTCTGTTCAAATGCCCTGTTTATTTTTTGGAATGTATATGTTGAATATTGATGTCTATATGCCTTATTCTGTATTTGACATAATTGTTTCAATAAAGAATAAGATTAAAAAAAGTTCAACTTTTGAAGCTTCGACGGAAGCGTCAGCCAATCAAATCATATGCCAGTACAAGCTCAAGCAAATCAAACCGCGTGATTGAGTGTCCGGGAGGGAGAATGGGAGTAATGGTGATTGGTCGCAGCTCCAGACACCGCCCACCGGCAAGCTTCACGCACCGCCGCGTGTGGACGAACCGTTAAAAGCTTTATTAATGTTAAACAGACATTTTCTACGGCCCTCACCCTAACTAATAATAATCCATTTTATTTATAAGCGCACTTTCATTCGAGCAAACAAAAACTCAAAAAGTGCTACAGAGTCAAAATGGTTGAAAAAGAACAACAAACAAAGAAAAAAAAAAATATATATATATAACCTTTACATTCTCACAGAATACTACAACATACATATTGTCCTGATAGAGTAATGTGTCTACTGCTGAAATATTTATATAAGGGTGGAGACAAACGACAGGCAGGGAAGTAGTCAGAGGATCCTGAATCCTAGTGTTAGCAACAATAAAAAGGAGAACTTCTAAATACGGATGGGAAGAATTAATAGTATGATTCAAAATTATTCGATTTGGTGGAGGTGCCTTAGTGGATTATATGAAGCGGAATAATCAATGTATAGCGAAAAGTGCCAATAGCTGTAAGAGGTGTAGGTCTACCCTCTCAGGTACTCGTAGAGTGCGAGAGCTTCTTTACAGCTGGCGCTGATTGTGAATCCAGCTGTCTATAGCGACGAGTGACCTGCTATACAAGTCATGAAGACTGAGTATTAATAGCTGCATTCTGTGATCTGTGCACACGGATAGCGTTTGATCTCCGTTGTCACGGTGATACGTAACCCTAAACCGTTATGTAAATGCTTCACGTATATCGATCCCTTCTATAACCAAGTTATGTTTTGAGGCATGAAAGTGTAGCCAATGGCTGTGCAACGGTTCAAACTGGTGATCACCAGTGCAAGTACATTTGACAAATTCTTACTGGTTTCTATACTTATATAATAAGGGTGGATGAAACGAGGCAGGAAGTAGCCTGGGGTCCAATCGCTGTTAGCAACAATAAAAGGAGACTTCTAAATACCGGATGGGACACGATTAAATAGAATATTCGAAATAATTAAGATTTTTTTTTTTTTTGGGAGGGTGCTTAGTTGATTACATATTTATACAATGGAATAATTCAATGTAATACGAAGTGCCATAGCTAGAGTGTGTTAGGTTCTACCCTCTCGGTTCCAGCTGAAGAGGGTCTTCTCTACAGCTGGCCTGATTGTGAACCACCCACCTATCCCCTGAGATAGACAATGCTCCATATTCTTAAACAAGAATAGTATTGAATAGCTGCATTCTGTGATAGGCCCCTGTTATATGGTTTGTTGATCCCCCTTTTTTCCTGGTTGTCTACAAGGGGCGGTACGTTACCCCTAACCGTATGTCTGTTCGTGTATGATCCTCTTTATATTTAAAACCAAGTTATGTTTTAAGCATGAAAGCTGTAGGCAATAGCTGTCAACTGTTCAAACTGATGATCACCAGTTAATACATTTGACAAATCTAACTTGGTTGTCTATACTTATTTGAACATGTATTTATTTATTTTCCAAATAAAACTTTTTTTTTGTAAAAAAAAATTCCCACATTTTTGTTTTTTTTTTATAGGATATGACATTTCGGTTAATAGTTAACCGTTTTTTTTGGGGTTCAATATTGGAATATACATTTGCTTTCAAATTCCCATCTAAAATAAATACCTAAAATACTGCACACTTCATGAAAATGGTGGTGTGGCGTCAGCCGTCTTTCGAAACACTGCATCTGGTGTCTGAAAACAAAAAACAAACACACAGCAGCTAGGTGACTATGGGAGCCACTTCAGGTCAAACAACACGCCGTCGGGACAGGATATCAGAGAGAGACATATCAACGACGACTGAATAATACTCGTGTTATAGTGTGAGGGGAAGGATGAACACCTTAAACTGAGGAAATGGTAATAATGGGCTGACACTTTGAGGAAAATGCGAGAAAGTTGTTAAATATCACACTAATCACGTGGCAATAAGAACAACTATAGTTTAAGTGAATTATTAGGTTTGTTATATAAATAGTGTCAGTAAGATACAGAGTAGAATAAATAGTGTAGGTTATAGTGCAAGACCAATGCGCAAGTAATGGCAAATGAAAGTAACTATTACATGTCAGAATAAATAAATATAATAAGCTAAATGTTGCAGGAGAATGTGTTTAGGTGACCAAGCCCAAAGCAGGATTTAGTATTAGCATAGTACATAACATTATTATATTTGTTTATTGAATATTTTGCAACTTGCCAATAACTGATGATGATTGATTAAAGTCTTATCTTATCTTATATTATCTTAACAGCTTCTGATGAAGATTTAGCACGACATGCTAACAGCTTGTAATGTACAGTAGCACGACAGGCGAACAGCTGCTAATGTAGACTGAGAATGGACATGCTAACAGCTGGCTATGATAGATTAAGCACGACTGTGCGAAACATATGCCAAGTACAGTTAGCACGACTGCTAACAGCTGCTAATGCAAAGTTAGCACGACATGCTAACAGCGCTACCTGCACAGTTAGCACGACAGTCGTTAAGGTGATAACGGTTTGACATTTAGATGCTAAGGGTTAACACTCAACCGAAGTTGATCTCCACGTTCACACGGAGACCTCCTCCGCCGCGAACCGAGGCGGAAACTAATGCAAAAAGCGTAAAACATGATAACTTATGCGTCTGTGCATGCTGGAATCTTCATGCTTGTGGGCATCAATAAAAGGCTCCTATCTCGCCTCAAAATCGGGGTGAGTTCACAGAAGTCACGCGAGATCTGGCGCAGAACACTGGGAAAAGAGTAAGGCAAGGCAAGGCAGATTTTGTATAAGCACCTTTCAACACAAGGCAATTCAAAGTGCTTTACAAAACGAAGACATTAAGTACCAAAAGAACATATTATAAAATGGATCTAAACATAAAATTTTAAAAGCAAATATAATAAAACATGAATAACAAAGGAACATTCATTAAAGTGTGAGATACACACATCTGAAATGTTTGGTCTGACTCTCAATCATTGCTAAACTTTTTGCAGAAATAGTTTTCTTTGAATGACTTTCTTTTCTACTTTCTTTTTGTACTTATCCTTAGTCATTTCAAGTGTTTGATGTAAAACGAAGCCCCACATTTGGATGAATTATATCTGACCCCATGGAGGCCATAACTGTAGTTTGAATAACTGAAACTTTAATTATTATTTATAGAACAATTTGGCAAATACATCAGGTTTTAGAACATTTAGAAGTATTTAAGATAATGATTAGGACAATGTACTTAAAGTGTTAGGAGTAAAAGTAAATCGCAAAAAGAAAACCTTGTTATTGATTGATGCAATTATGTGTTCATCCAGCTCGAAACATTTGTAAAATGTATATTATATTTACTACATTGAGTAGCTTAGAAGCCTGATTTCTATTTGCATTCATAACCCATAAATCAGCAAAGTAACAAAGCTATCAGATAAATTGATGTAGTGAGTAAAAAGTAAGTAGTATGAATAGGAGAAGAAAATTGAAAGTGTTTTAATTTGGAAATCAAACCGGAGTACCGATTCCCCCCCCCCCCCTCATTTCCTCTGTGATGATCGTGGTCACGATTTCACCCCCTGTCAAAGTCGAGGGGAGTTCATGCTAGAAGTGTCAGGCAAATAAATAAGTAGTTATTGCTTCAAATCAGAAGATTAACCCGAGTGTGAACAGCTGTTTCTTCCTTTCTGCTGCCCACATGGCGGAAGTGAGACCAACCGTTGTTAGGTAAACAACTCTCTCTTGCAGGTTACTTTCATTATGACTTTCTCACTATGCAGCCAGTGCCTTTTTATATACAGTCTATGCTTCAACAAAAGCAATACGCTTAGCAAGGAGAGAATATTTTCCTACAATTATCACATGAAATGGAGAAAGCTAAGGTGTTATTTCACCATTGATCAGCTGATAAACAAAGCCCCCTCCCCACCAGAGTCTTCCAAGAAAAGTGAAGAAGAATTGCAGTATTTTTTTCCACAAACAAAATAACTCACCCAGAACGAGTTAGACGTTAGATGGGTGTAAACACAGATGATCCCATTAGACCAAGCGTGATGTTACCATGGGAAGTTCACTGCATCACACTGGGAGATTCTGCCGGACTGTTACTGAGTGTAACTCTTCCACTTCATGTGTTGAAAGGTGTTGTGTCAATTAGTAACACCCCGTCGTGAAATGCACCCTTGCCGGAACAGCGATTTGAACCATGATTTGACGTTATAATCGCTTCTATGTTGTCCTTTTGATGGTGATCGTCGAATCTGGATTTTGGCATTCATTCCGTCCTTATGTTTCAGTTGTGCTTTACAATGTATTGTTATTTTTACATCAAGTGCTTGAGGGTGGGAATTTAATAGAATCTTTTTATATTTTGGGGTGCTTTTATGTAACCTGGTTGCCACGATATGCACCCTTGCTATCTCTGAAAATATAACGTGTCCCACATAATTTAAACTTGCTCATGTATTGGTATAGTCCTACAACTATGCCATCCAAAAGTGCTGAGGGTGAGATTTATAGAAGCCCATCTTTTTGGGGGCGTGCTTTTTACGGCAGGTCATGGGGTGCATTTGACGACGGGTGCATCATTTGATACAACACAATACCGGTACCTTAACAGCATTCTTTAAGAGGGTGTCGGGGCAATATCAATCCTCACAACAGGAAAGAAATGAAACAGAGGGAATCAATAAAACAAACACAACACAGACATAGTAGTATTGATATATACAGTCTATGATTCCAGTGTAAATAACCTCAAGCAATACAGTGTGATGAAGTCTACTTAATAGAAGTATGATAGTTGTTCGCATTATTGCAGGATAATACACACACATGCATGTTTAGTGGAATATATTCATATACATACAACTTAACATAAAACAATATGATATTACGTGTATGTGTTTGAATCCATAGACAGTACATAGGTAATCCCATACGTTTATACAACATACATGTTTTATATTTTAGTTATATATTATTAATATATTGTAGAAAATAAGTTTGTGATATTGTGTTTTTTTTTTCTTTCTGCTTGTATCCTCAGTTGTGTATTCCTGAGATCGAAGGGAAAGAAAAGTTCAAGAAGAGCAGCGATGTTTGCTGTTCTACAGGTATTTTTTGGCAGTTTCATATCTTATTATGACAGAAATAATTTCGATGCATACAAGCAGAGGTAAAGTTGTAAATGGCCCATTTGATAATATATAAAATACATTAAACTGTTGGATTATAAGTATTAAAGGTCACCTATCATAGCATGTTTAGGCAATACACATAGTTTCAGATATATAAAAATATATAAAAAACTGTCTATGAACGTGTTTTGCTCAACATACCTAAACAGATCACCCGATTCTAAGCCATAGCCTCATATCCCTCTATTTCACTTCGTTTCTAAAGTCTGATTTGGTATAAAGCTTAAATAAAAAGGAGGGGTCTGAGTCATGCGGACCGGCAGCTACTGTCTAAACGAAATACTGCCGTCGATGAAACGCATATCATTGGATATATCAAGGGATTGTCTTCTAAAAGCAGTAATGGAGCTCAAAGGCTTCTCTCTTGCGGTTTATTCCACAAGGTGATTTCTTTTTATTTTTCCTGCCTTCTTCACACACAGCTTCCAGTACGGGTACTCTCTGAGTGTTAGCGATGCTAATGTAACCGACATATTACTCCAAACAGTCAGCGCATTTGTTTCTGAGAGAATCGTTTCTGATAGGTCCGTGGGCCACATTTCACGATATAAGTCATAATCGGACGCAATCTTGGATCCGCTCCCGTGTTCCCCCGTTTTGAGAGAGATTTGGGTACGGAGGAAAAGAGGAGGGTGTTATTTCCATGACGCTGCGTGAGTTCTCCCCCCGACATCACTGGGACACTAGGGGATGGTATCAAAGAATCCAAAAAGGCATTTGCTGATGGCTCCCCTTTAAACATATTGTTGCAGTTGCTAAAAGGTGCTCATTGAATACCCTATCACATCTGTGGATTCAGCC